CCAGTCTCCCTTGTAGCTATGTGTGACTGCGTTTGTGCTAAATGAGAGGTAAATGGACTTTTTGTGTCTCGTCTTTGGGTTGGCTGCTTAAAGAAAGCGCACAAACCTAGAACACAGATGATATGGTCTGGCTGTGTCCCCACCCAAATCTCATCTTCAATTGTAACTGCCACAATTCGCACGTGTCGTGGGAGGAACTTGGTTAGAAGGTGATTGAATTATGGGGTTGGGTCTTTCGCGCACTGTTTTTTTGGTAGTGAATGAGTCTCATGAGATCCGATGGTTTTAAAAATGGTAGCTTCCCTGCACAAGCTCTCTCTGCTGCCAGTCATGTAAGACATGACTTGCTCCTCCTTTCCTCCTGCCATGATTTTGAGGCCTTCCCAGCCACGTGGAGCTGAAAGTTCATTAAGCCTCTTTCTTTTGTAAATTTCCCAGGTTAGGTATGTCTTTATCAGGAGCATGAGAAGAGACTAATACAACAGATATGACTGGCGTTCCAACAGCCATCTTGGACCATGAGGTGGGTTGTGAGGATGAAGCCGTGAATTAAGACAGTAGAGCAGAAAAGTAGGAGCCTAGATCCTTAGGGTCAGAGTAAGACAACTACTGTCCTATCTTTGGATGGCTGACCTCCAGACTTCTTTTAGATGAGACAAAAACTTTTATCTTCTTTAAGCCACTATTATTTGGGTTTTTTCTGTTATATGCAACTGCTGTTAAATATCCTAAGTATGGGTAGGCACCACACCCATGTCACAGATGAGGAAACTGAGGCACAGAGAAAGTGATAAGTTGCCCAAGATGGAGGTCCCACAGCTGACTAAGTAACCGGGTCGGGCTCTGAGCTGGAACCAACCCTGGCCCCTCTGCCCAGCACGTGCTGCCTCTTGCCTAGTGGCATGAGAATTCTCCTTTGTCCCAGATAAATAAGAAGGTGGCAGATGTCTTCCCCAGAGGAAGTGCGTGTCCTCTCAGCTGCCTCCACATGCAACCTTGACTGGGTACCACTTCCCACTCTAAACACCGTACAGAGTGGGCTTGTGCGCCCGTCCCATGGCCAGTCTCTGCAGAGCAACCTCCCAGGACGAGGAGAAGGAAGAGGGAGCAGCTTGATTGGTGGAAAGTGGGATTGGAACGCTGCTGCCTCCTGGTACCCTTAACCCTCCCCACCGTGGCTTCCCCTGATCTCCACATTTCCAATGGCCCCCGGTGCACTTTGGATGAAACCCAGGGTCCCTCTGTGGCCCTCAACGCCATGCACAACCAGCCTGCTCTCTCCCTGCTGACGTCCTGCCTGCCTCCCTGTGCCGCAGCCTCGTGGCCTTCCCGCTGTTCCTCCCGCCTGCCACCCCAGGGCCTTTGCACACACTCCTCCCCCAGGTGGAAGAGCTCTTCCCTGCAGTGCCCCCACCCCTGTCACAGCCCACTGTGGCCTGCATTCAGGTCTTAGCTGAAACGGCCTTCCTCAGGGTCCGTCTCTGACCACCCTATCCTCCCTGTCACCCCACACGCTGTGGCTTCCCGACACACGTCATTCCTTGGCATTAAATGGCTCAGTCAGGTCTGGCTTCTCCACTAAACACGGTAGACACAGTGCTTGGGCCCATGGGACTTTCAGGGACCCACAAACACATTTTAATGTCCTTTAAAATCAGAGCAAATGAATATAACTCTGCCTGGTTGATATTCATCTTTATGCCAACACAGTAAAAAATAACAATTTGTCTTATTTCCAGATGGACGAGGGGCCGCAGTCATCCTGGCATGGGGCTGGGTCCTGTTTGCTTGCTATGTCCTCTGATTGGGACCCACTTCCCCGAGTGCAGACACCTGTTACCTGTACCTACTGCCCGCCATGGTGCCTGGTGCACGGTGGACACACAATGAATTAGTGAATGAGCAGATGAAGAATGAACACTTCCAGCCAAAGAGGAAGCTCGTGCTGTCCCCAGAGCCCACTCTGCTCCTAGAAAGGGCATCGCATCACAGTTTGGCTGCCCCAAGCCACCGTGGTCATCCTTATTTATGGCCACCTGCTCCTGGATAGAGGACCCTGGCCTGGAGCGCCCGTCCATCCGCATCTCCCCTCGCGGAGAGCGCCTCCAGTAGCGCACATGAGAAGGGTTGGAGCTGGTGGGAAGCTGAGGTTGGGCTCCCGCAGCTCCTCCTCTAGCTGTGGGTGCTTCAGAGTTCACTCTGCCCAGCATGGGCAGCAGTGGTGGCACCAACCAGGAACAGTGAGGACCAACTGAGGCTGGATGGAGAAGCTCTGAGAGGCCCAAGAACCCTGTGGTGGGAAAAGGAGAGGGTCTCGTGATGGATTGAATGGTGGCCTCAAAAAAGATATGCCCATGTCTGAATCCCCCAACCTGTGAATGTGCCCTTACTTGGAGAGAGGTTCTTCACAGATATTATTAAGGATCTACAGGAGGAGGTCATCCTGGGTTATCTGGGTGGACCTTAAATCCAATGACAGGTGTTCTTATCAAAGGCACACAGAGGGCCAGGCGCTGTGGCTCAAGCCTGTAATCCCAGCACTTTGGGACACCGAGGTGGGCAGATCATAAGGTCAGGAGTTCAAGACCATCCTGGCTATCACGGTGAAACCCCGTCTCTACTAAAAATACACACACACAAAAATTAGCCAGGCATGGTGGCGGGCGCCTGTAGTCCCAGCTACTCAGGAGGCTGAGGCAGAAGAATGGCGTGAACCCGGGAGGCAGAGCTTGCAGTGAGCCGAGACTGTGCCACTTCTCTCCAGCCTGGGTGACAGAGACTGACTCTGTCTCAAAAAAAAAAATAAAAATAAAAAAGAAAGAAAAAAAAAGGCATACAGAGGAGCGACGGAGAAGGCCATGTGCCATGTGTAGACAGAGGCAGAAATTGGGATGATGCAGTCACCAGCCCAGGAACACCTGGAGCCACTAGAGGCTGGAAGAGGCTGGGAAGGGTCCTCCCTGAGAGGCTCCAGAGGGAGCACAGCCCTGCTGACACCTGGGTTTTGGATGGCTGCCCTCCAGAGCCACAGGAACGAATCGGTGCTGTTTTAAGCCAGCAGTTGGTAGCGATTGCTTATGGCAGCCCCAGAAAACTCACATGCTCAGTGTCTCCAAAAGATCTGAATAGAGGGCAGGACTCAAAACATGCCAGTGAGAATCCACTCTATAGATGGCCCCGGTGAGCACTGCTAACCCTCCCAGCCACCCAGCATGGTCCATACACTGTTGTCACCAGGCGATGGAGGAGAAGACAGAGGGAAAGGACTACTCATGTGCAGCATCCACGGTACAGCAGGCTGGCCATCAGCCCCACCCACCAGGGAAGCTAAAGCTCAGCATCAGTGCACACTGAGGAAGGCCCTCAGGCAGTTTGGAAACAGGAGGGAGGCCGAGCCCTGAGCAATGGTCCAGCGACTCAGTCGTCAGGGCCCGACACACAGGACTGGGGACGCACATTGGGAGGCTCAGAACTGCCAGCCAGGAATGCCCACGTTTCTCCAGCAGCCCCGGGAGATTCCAGCTCAGGAAAGCCTGGGGTTGAGCCCAGGTTTTGAGGTTCAAATTTCACTTCCAGTAACTATTAGCTGGGGGACTTTGAGTAAATTCCTTCACCTCTCTGTGCCTGACAGTGAGCGGGACTGAGAAGAGAGGCAACAAGAAAATGCTCCAGGGGGGAAATGAGCAAGAGAGGTGGAAACCAGGAGGATGGAAGGTAAAGAGGAAAGGTGAGGCCATTTGTGGTGCTACAGCCACAGACGCACATGCCTGCAGGGCCTGCCCAGGGGGCCAAACAGGAAAGTGGGACAGCGGTGACAAAATAATGTTTGTCCTTTCCAAAGTGCCCGGCTCTCCCAGGCTACCCTCTAGTTTCCTGCTCTTAATAGGGACATTAGGGACATGGATGCACATAAATCGGCATCTACAATTTTAAAAACAGCAACTGACATTCACCCTTTTGTAAGAGAGGCGATAGGGAGCAGTAGAGACTGAGCACCAGCTGTCCCTCTGCAGCCACCCAGAGCGGCCACATGTGTGTGGGGCCCAGAGTGGCCAGGCCTGCCGATTCTCAAGAGAAGCCAGATTTGGGGGGTTTTTCTTCACCCGCATCTTCTGATACTCAAAAACATGTTGGCGATGGATGCACGTTTTAATACACGGATAAACACCATGCCAGGGAGTCAGACCCATGTGGAGGCCACATCTGGACCTCCGGTGTGTGGCTCTGGTCTTCAGCCTGGAAAATAGAACAAACGCTAAACTGCTCATCTGGACAATGGCAGGAGGGTCTGGAAATCACAAGGGTTGGACTTGTGAGGAGCAGCCGTTTTATTTCGGGCAATAGGGGAAGAATGGACAGCCTGTCCAAGTATCAGGCTGGGATTCCAACAACAGACATCAGGTGACCTGAGTGTGCACTTCAAAGTGGAAAGGCGTCCAAAATGCTGCTCCACGCTACACGGCCGAGTGCTGCTCCATGCTCGGCGAGGCACCTCCGCCAGGCCTGCTGGGGGCCGTCCACATCCACAGCCGTGCTCCAGCAGCTGCTCCCAACCGCCCCAATCATTGGCACTGGACAGTGTCAGCTCCGGGGCCGGCACTGGTTTAAAGTTTTGGGTGTGCACCTCCTGCCCTTTTTCTCTCTGTGCTGCCTCTATTTTATTGGGATGACTAAATCTTTCAACTATGTTAGCAGTAAACACAGCTAATTTACCCCCTGCCTCTTTGAAACAGCTGCTGACAGCTGCACTGTAATTCAATCAAGGACCTTTGTAGTGGAGCCTCTACCAAATTCACATGTGTTGTTTGGTTCCATCTCTCCTGCCCAGAGCCCCACACAGCTGCACCAAATATTGACGAGCGCCCACTTGCCCCCAAGGCCTGAATGCTAAACAGTGTGTTCACGGTGGAGGCGAAGGCAGGGAGCTCTCAGCAGTGTGAGAGAACTTCAGTGTCCAGGAACTGAGAGAAAAACACAACACACACAGACACAGGCCAAAGAACCAGAACCAAACGTCTCCTTTTATTGCAAAGTCAAACCCTTTTTATTTTGTCTATTTATACAGAATTTTCACTAAAGACTGTTCGACGCAACAGCCATGAGTACATTGGTCCAACCATTAATAAATAGTCTTAAATAAGAAAACAAACAGGTTGAAGGAAAGCAAGCTCGCCATCCTGAACGAGGGATTAAGGGGTGGGGGATTCAAAAGAGCTTTGGATGGAAATAAATAATCTCTTTGCTTTGTAACAACTATTTACAGGCTTAAATGTACAAATGATGCTAACCAGAGGCTGGTTGGGTCAGTAAGTGGTGAGAAAACCTGCACCAAGAGGGATCACACAAAAAGCCCCAGCTCTGCCAGCAAATGAAACCAAACATAACAAAAAATACTCCTCCCCAGTGACTAGAGAGTGGAGGCTGCAGCCCAAGCTACTAAAGAAGAAAAACATCAAGGAAAAGAAAAACAGAGCCCCGGTGTTTCCAGGAACTGTCTGAGTCAAGATGGAGAAACAGTCCCCCACAAGACCGGGTTCCACATGGCCACAGTCTCGGATCACCTTGCTTCCTTTACAGATGCGGAAAACGTTTGTAGACAGTGTAGCCCTCCCCCAGGCCTTGTGTTTGTGGCCGTAGGCTGACTGCGTACTATTTATGGGACTCACCAGCCAAGGCAAGGTGGGCTTACACCAAGAGCCATGTCAGAAATGCCACCTCCAAATCGGGACACTTGGTTAGGATGTTACCCTCAACAAGGCTTCTGTTTGCAATGTGAGTCCAGCACATCCTGCACCCATCAGACCTCCTATTATGCCATCTCCCCCTTACTTCAAGGAGCAAATTTGTTTGCAGAGACTTCTGATCAGGGTCTGCAAATGAAGAGACAGCCACGGGTACCCCTGCCAGGGCCAGCCTTGGAATGCCGCTGCAGACAAAGACCAGAGGGTCCACTGGGAGGATGTGCAGTACCCCTGCTCACCCCACTCCCATGGAGAACTAGGCTTCATTGGTGCTTCCTTTTTTTTTTTTTTCTTTTGAGATGGAGTCTCGCTTTGTCACCCAAGCTGGAGTGCAGTGGGGTGATCTCGGCTCACTGCAACCTCCACCTCCTGGGTTCAAGCGATTCTCCTGCCTCAGCCTCCAGAGTAGCTGGGATTACAGGCGCATGCCACCATGCCCAGCTAATTTTTGTATTTTTAGTAGAGATGGGGTTTCACCATGTTGGCCAGGCTGGTCTCAAACTCCTGACCTCAAGTGATCCGCCCATCTCAGCCTCCCAAAGTGCTGGGATTACAGGCATGAGCCACCACGCCTGGCCCATTGGTGCTTCTTAACAACAGGGTCGAGTTGCAAGTTCCATCCTACTTGCTGTCCTTGTACCCTCTGCAATTTCACATGGATTTACTACCACTGGGGCGAGCTGAAAAGCCAATTCCAAATGTCTGCAGGTGTTTCACACACCTAGTTTCATTTCTGCCACTGCAAATCCAGCTGAACAACAGAACATATTTTTCCTCCAAAGGTCAACACACAACCCTCCTCCGAGCAGACATTTGCTCTTTCCCCTCCCACTAGATCTTGGATTTGGGCAAACCTCGGTAAACACTGGACCTCTGCAAGCCTCAGAATGAAACCTGTAGGGAATGGAGAGGGACCTCCCCGCCCTCCACATGACACAGCTTCTGTTTATGCATCAGGATAAACCGAGAAATGGGGATAAATTGTTTAGGAAAATATATCTGTAACATCCTAACCATTTTCATTCATTCGTTTTATTGTGACATTTATTACAGGAACTTCCGGGTCAATTTTCCTTTCGCACAGACACCAATGTGCCCACCCCTTGCCACGCCCCCTTCCTCCCACGGCTGGGTGGCCTGGCTGGCGGGCCCTCATAATTACCTCTGGAAACGAGTCCGTGCATGGCTGAGACTTCCCAGCCAATGACCTGGCCCAGCCATTTTTCTTTATGTGTGTTTTTTTTTCCCCTGCTAGGTTTTGCCTGTACAGCTTGTAGGATCTTGTTCATTGGATGAAAAATTGATCAAAAGCCATATGCTGCTCACGTTTCCTAATACTCTTGCACCTTTAAAGTTGAGGATAGGGAAGGAAAGGTCTCACAAAAGGCAGTTGATCTGCTGGTTCCTGGCCAAGGCGAGCAATGGAGGATCCAGAAAAACTTGGCCCCAAAGGGTCTGAATTCCCGGAGGGGCTAGTGGCAGCCACAGGCCCGAACCACCATGTTTCTGTATTTCTTCAGGATGACGTTGGAGCTGTCATCGAAGTAGAGGACGGAGATGGCATTGAGCTGTGTGGGCGCACAGCAGGGCTTGGGCACCGTTTCCGGGTTGATGAAGTGGACCTGAAACACACACCAAAACATGGGCAGTGGTGAGAAGCGGTGAGTCCTTCTAACTGGCCTCCACGTTTCTATAAAGAAACATCCTGTCTGGGCATAATAAATGACTGCAGGTGACACTCCCCAAGCCAAGCACTCCCTGTTCTAAGCACTTTACCTGGACAACTCAGTTCTGGGATTATCCCTGTTTTGCAGACAAGCGAACCAAAGCATAGAGGTTTTCACACTATGCAGTTGAGAAGGAAGGGGCCAGATCCGACATTCAGGACCAGGTAATTCTCTGCTGGGGAACTGCCCTGTGCACTGCAGAATGCTGAACAGTGTCCCTGACTTGGAGCCACCAGAAGTGCTCCATCTTGCTCATGGGCTTCTCTGTACCTTACAGAGGATGTGGGCCAGGGACACACAAACTCAAATGCCTATGGGTGCCACATGAGTGCCACTGATGAGCAAAGTAGACCAATGGTAAGACAATAGGGAATAGTGGGGACTAAGGCAAACTAAGGGAAGAGGCCGCCACTCAACCTAAGCTGATGGCAGCCAACCGAGCTCAGTAAATTAGCAGATCTGCCACGTGTCCAAGATAGGCCAGAGATTCCACTGTCCTGTTGTTTTTAATGTGAAACTTCTGGGTTTCCAGCAACTGCAGGTGCCAGGCAAGAGCATCAATGACTGGCACTCTGTTCCCAGGGTCCAGGCTGTGACCGCTGACACAGGCTAGCATGCTTTTTACACATTTTATGATGGACAATTTCAAACTCTTACACATCCATACCCTTCCCTACCTGCTCCACCTTGAATGATTTTAAAGTAAATTCCAGCCATCAGCTCATTTCCTCTGGAAGCATTTCATCAGAACTCTCTAGAAGACAGTTGTCTCCTTTGAAAAATGACCACAATCGCATCATTTCACAGTCCCTGGAGAATTCACTTTGATCCTGCAGATCTCTGGTGAAATACTGATGGAAGTAGGTGCACACAGGACGATGGCACTCCTGTTCCATGGGCCATAAAGGCAGCGGTTGGAGAAGGATAGAGATGTGTCCCCTGGCGGCTGGGGAGACATGCCTGGCACCTTCCAGGGCATACTGGCACAGCATAGCACATCCAGACCAAGGAATACGTTGGGGAGGACTCTTCCCTTTCCAGCCTAAGGACCTTCAATCCCAAGTAGGGCTTTGGAGTTTACAATTGAGGAGGGGAGAGAGGGCTTTGGAAAATCAATGCTTAAAAAAGCAAACAAAGAAACAAAAACCCTTACCCTCAAAGAGCAGAACCAAATGAAAGAGATAGATGAGATTTTTCTCCAGGATTTAACACACAGGACAGGGGCAAGAAAAGGAGGCAGATTACTAAATGAAAGGAGGGAGTAGTCCCAGTAGTGAGCTCTCTGTCAGTAGAAGCATTCAAGGCAGGGTGGATGATCAGTTGGCGGGAAAGGTTCAGATGATGTTCATGGCAGGGAGCTACATAACCAACGTCCTTGAACCTTGGATTCTAAGCAAAAGAACACAATCCCTATAGCTCTTATCACTATGGTTGCTGTTGGCAGAGCAGGAATAACATCTACTGGGTGTCGCCATGTGCTGGGCACGTTCATCTCATTATCACACAGAATCTTCCCAGTGACCCCACTGAAATTTTACTCGAAATGGCCCCGTGGGTCCCCACTCATCTCTCCATCCCATTATTCTGCTGGCCAGCTTCTGATCAGTCTGCCCCTCGCTGAGATTTCTCATCTGTTTACCTGTTTCCTCTACAGGAAAATGAAGCAGGGCCCTGTTAGGCACAGTAACCTGCACCCACAATACTACAAGCATCCTCAAAGGAGCCCATAAAACTTTCAGTTACTTTTAAAATTAGGAGAAATAAATGTACTTCAGGGTCAAAGATTATACTCCTCTTTATACCAAACCAGTCAGAAAATACAACTTTTGCTTTTTGTTTTTTAATGGGGCAAGGAGCCCCTGAAGGTCATGACATGGCAATGGGCTGACATCTACTCAGGCCCCAGCTTGGAGGCAGCAGGATCTGGGGGCCCCACAGCCTGCCCGGCCCAGGTAACCACACCCCAAGACAGCGTGACACCCACCAGTGTCTGCACGATGGCGTGGTTGGTGGCGTTCATGTAGGAGTTCAGAGGGAAGGCACACTCCCCCTCACAGTAGTAGGCGGCGTAGCCTTCAGGCGCGATGATCCAGTCCTGAAGAGGAGAAGAGAGTGTGGGAAACCATGCGGAAGGCCTGAGCCACGTCATCCCAACCCCCATGCTGGCCAGAAGCCACCATGCCAGGCTCACGACCTGAGGACGAAGGCTCAGGCCATGCCTTCTGAGCAGCAGGGGGCCCAGCAGCGGCAGGAAAAATGGGTGGCCTCTCATGGTCCCACAAGAATGGAAAGGAGGACCATTCTACAGTCTTGGCCTACAGTCCAAGCTACTTGGGAGACTAGTGGGAAGACAGCTCAAAGCTGCAGTGAGCTATGATCACACCACTGCACCCCAGCCTGGTGACAGAGCAAAATCCCATTTCTAAAAACAACAACAACAACAAAAAAAAAAACATAAAATAAACATGAAGGAAAGCCCCACAGAGCTTGGCTGATCATAAAACAGACATCCATGGCTGTGTCTTCTGGACAGAAGGTGGCACAGCAAGGAGCCTCTGGTGTGAGGCAATCATCAGCTCTACCCGCCACTAGGTGGTCATACACTGGCAGTTCACCTTAAACCAACCTCCATGCCTTGGTGTGCCCACCTGCCAGAGAGGCTAATAACTCCTAATGGCGTCATCTATGCTGGCTCGGGATGAGAATTCAGTGACAGTGTAGACAGGTCTGTACACTGGTCAGGAAGGGATCCATGTGCCATACCTGCCTCTAGGGTCTGCGTGGCACAGAAACGTTGCCCAATAATCAATACACTCCTCGGTGAGGCTTAAGCGCATGGAACCTTCCAGCAGAGGCCCCTGGAGTTTGGGTTCTGTCCCAGCAGCGGGTGGATGTGGTCATCAGTCCCGAGGGCAGGCTCACAGGAGGGCTCAGAGCTGGCTGTGTGTGTGCACGCCCTGAGTGTGTCGGGGCATAATCCCCAGGGAAGATTCTGGACTCTCCCACTGAACTACAAGCTCCCTGAGGGTAGAATACCACCAGTTGCCCTGATGACCTCATGACAATACCCTCTCCAGGGATATTTGAGCCCCACGGGGCAGATACATTGCAATGTGCAATGCTGCATCTCCAATCCGGTACCAGAACAGGGCCCAGAATGCTGCGATGCTGCACGATTGCTGAATGAGAATCACACCAGCGCTCACAGCCGACACATGGTGGATCAGATGACCTTCACTCCTCCCCTGCCTTTTGCCTCACTCCATGCAGATGGCTCCAGAGGGGGCAGCCATGTGCCAGTAACATGACCACATCCCTAAGACAGTTGACTGGTCCAGGAACAATGGCCTGAACCAAGTTGGGCAGATCCATCCCTCCCGTGGGAATGGGAATGGGAATGGGATGAGGGCAGAGGGGGAGATGGCTCCCCAGGTATCTGGATTCAAATACACAGGCCGGCATCATCTTGAGAAGCAGCCAGCCCACAGATGGGAATGATGTGCATGCAGAGAATGGGGTTCAGAGTTCAAAGTGTTTGGGTTCCTGGTTCGAGTTCAAGTCTCAAACACATTTCTGCTCTTGGACTTCATGAGGCCTCCCTGTATCCTTAGCCCAAGTCCCCTTCTGCAGCGAGGCCACTTGATACTGGAGTCTTAACTGGCAGAGATGAGAAATAGGACCGAGCACAGACCCGCTGCCTCGTGGGAGCCCACGCCAGAGGCCCCATGCCCAAGACAGACCCAGCCAGCCCCTTACCTGCCAGCCCAGGTCTCGGAAGCTGACGTACAGCTCGTGCTTCTTACAGGCCTGCCTCTGGTCACTGCTGCTGTTCTCTGCGTTGACAAGGAAGTGAAGAAGCAGAGCCCAGTGAGGAGAAAGAAACACACACACATCAAAAGTTCCCTCCATCTTAGGCGGTGATGTGAACAGCAACCAAGCACAGATGGCTGAGGGGTAAATTTCCTGATTCAAAAGCCAGTTCAAGGGTCTAACTGCCTTAAAACTCATTTCTACCCCCAGCAAATGCCCTACTAAGGGAGGTGCCAATGCCCCCATTCCTCTCTCACGCAGTCTTATCCCATAATACTTTCTGGATCCTTCTGCGGACACTGGTTTCTTTTATACACGTGTGTTGTTTAAATGCTGACATCTGCCTGGATTCCATAAGGGACTCAAACCCCATCCACCTCCCACAGTGCCACTGCAGGGGCCCTGCTCAAAGAGATCTGCTTATGAACGACCTCGACGTGTGAGGCCCCAACACACTCATCCCTCTGCAGGGGCAAGAGGATGCGGGGACAAGGCCTGGGACAAGCCCCCATCACCACCACCAGCAATAAGCAATGAGACAGCAAAGAGTCAAAACCTGATGACCTTTCAGAAAAAAACACTCCTGAGGTTTCTTTGAACAGTGAAAATTACACACTGGGATTTTCCAGAACTATGTAAGTTTGTAAGCATTTGGGTCAGGGCCTGAGCACTTGTAAACACTGCAGAAGTTTCTGTCTGTTTCTCTCTCTCACACACACTGCAACCTTCCTTCCACCCCACGGCAGAGGGATTGCTTTTTTCTTAGTCATGACCTGTCTTTCTTCCACCTACAACTTCCCAGGGGCTCTCTGTCATACTCAGAGCAGGGCCCAGTGTGCTCTAAAAACTGATTGATCAAACACCAAGCTCACTCCCACCGCAGGGCCTTTGCATGTGCCGTTTCCTCGACCTGCAATGCCCCTTCCTGCATTCTTTGTTGTGTCTGGCTCAAGCCTTGGTTCCAATGTCACCTCCTCAAAGAGGTTTTGTAAAGTCACTATTGGATCCCCAAAGCTAAGCTCATCAGTGCACATCCTGTCCAGGAGTCAGGAAGTGGTTCAGGGAAGGGCAAGTGACCCAGCACAAACTAAAAGAGATCGGGAAAACAGTTCCTCCGTTCCTAAGAAAGACCCATGGGGAGACATTCATTCTCTTCCTCCTACTGCCAGGGAGCAAAAAAATAATGAAGCTCCCCTGGCTGTCCCCATGGCCAACTGCAGCTGTGGCCTTGAGAGGAAGCAGCACTGAAGATGGTGGGGTGGGGGCAGAAGGAGCTGGGGCTCGGAGGACACTATTGAGCTCCTGAATCCACCAACCCTAATGTCCACCCAATCTCGGCTCTGTGGGCTGATGAATTTTGTACTGGTTGAAGCGCATTTGACTTGGGTTTCTGATATCTGCAGCCAACCCTCAACCCATCCCAACTGGCCGCCCTGTGAAGGTTCATCCCACATAGAAAATGGTGGTCAGCTTGAGCTCAGGTGTCGCCCTTAGAGGTGCAGACCCTGGAGCACAGTCAGCCTCTGAGTGGAGTCTAACCTGTGAGTCAAGACCAGGTCCTGGGGACTGCTCCAGCTATGGAGTCCAACCCCAGCTCTCCTAGATCTTGGACTCCTGGTTTGCAAAATGAAGAGAGCTCCTATACCTCCTGGGGTAACCTTGAGTGTTCATGTCAGTTTCATATTTTATTCTTCTTGTAGCCCACTTGTTAGGGAAATTTAAAACTACACACATTCTCCATTCACACACACACACCTGTTAACTATCTGAATGCATGGCTGTTTCCTCCACACCCACTACATGCCATTAGGGTATATATCAAAGAGTGGAACATCACTCAATTTTTGACTTTTCTCTGATTCACAAGAATTCTATCTGCATGATTTCTAGGATAATGAGAAATGGTAAGATAAGAAGGGCATCGCTGAACTCCCTTCCCTGAGCTTCACTTTCCTCATCTGTAAAATGAGTGGGACAGGAGTGGTGCAGTAAGCTAGCCTCCCATGGACCACACACTGCAAATTAGGACACCTCCTCAGACACAGACTGGACATTCTGTTGGTCCTGGAAACCTTCAGTGTGCAGCCGCCTTAGCGACCCCATGACTGAGAACAATTCTGGAATGAAATGGGCTAGAGACAGCAAGCGAGAGTGGAAAGCAGAAAGAAGGAGAAAGAAGTGTTGAGGAGGAAGGAGGCAGGAGAGGGGAGAACAGCATGGAAAGTACAGGAGTCAGGAACTGGCCCCCAAGGCTCAGGCTGAGACAGGGGCACCATGCTGCCTGCTGGGGACTGAAAAGCAGGCTGCTTTTGTTTTCATCAGCAATTTTTTTTTTTTTTTTTTTTTTTTTGAGACAAGAGTCTTGCTCTGTTGACCAGGCTGGAGCACAGTGGTGCAATCTTGGCTCACTGCAACCTCTGCCTCCTGGGTTCAAGCGATTCTCCTGCCTCAGCCTCCCAAGTAGCTGGGACTATAGGCACTCATCACCATGCCCGTCTAATTTTTGTATATTTAGTAGAGATGGGGTTTCACCATGTTGGCCAGGCTGGTCACAAACTCCTGACCTCAGGTGATCCGCCCGCCTAGGCCTCCAAAATGCCATTTTTGAATGTATCTATTTATATAGATATAAAATGTATCTATAGTTCAGAAAAGCAATGTGGAAAGATATGCACACCAATGAGGAAATGACATTTAATTGATTATAACCGAATCACGTGTGTTTAGACCTGGTCCTGAGGAGACACTCGAGACTCTCTGCGAAGTGACCTCTGTGAAGGCTGGGGCGGGGCAGGTGGCCTCCAGGCTGTGGGGTGGGAGCGCTTGCCCTGGGTGCCCTGCCCTCACGGCCTGCATGCCTGGTGGAGTCATTCATTCAGCCGTTGCTAGGGGCTGCTTCCTAGTGTACAGGCATGAGATGAGTCCCGGGTGTAAGACAGCAAAGGCCTGCCACTCAGGGGCTTTTCCAGAACGAGAGGCGGGTCATAGGTAAGTGAGTGCACATGACTTACACGGAGATGAGGGCTACAGAGGAAGACAAGGCAGGAGAGCTGCATCGAGCGGGCATGCTGCAGGGGTGCCGGCAGGCGCTCTTCTGAGGAGGTGACGTGTGGATAAGAACCAAAAGGAAGTGAGATAGGAGGGTGGGGAGGCATCCGAGGGCGAGGCATTCCTGGATGAGGATGCCGAGCAGCGGGGACGAGGCGCCCTCCATGCCTGAGGCCGCTGGAGCAGCATCGGACAGAGGATCGGAAGCAGGCACTGAGCCCCACAAGGAATGAGAAAGCTGGGGCCTGGGTCAGCAGACTGCATGGGCGGAGGGAAGATCAGCGTGGCTGGAACCAGCCCCCAAGGCTCAATGCTGCAAGGGGGTGCTCAGAGTGGATGGAGGTAGCCAGGGGGAGCCCGGAGGCCCCTGATCCCCACCCTCAGTGGGGGAGTAGCAGGGCTGGGAGAGAGAGAATCAGCTCTGGGGCAGCAGGGACCTCCCCAGGGCCAGGGTGTCCTCAACATGAGAAGGTCAAGGTCAAGGAACCATCAGGGAAGAGCCCAAACAGCTGGACTCTACAGCCTGCCCTCGAGAACACACAGACGCCAAGCAGAAACCTAAGATGGCCTTTGTGGCTGCAGCAATGCCCAGGGCCACAGGTAGCCACGCCCCTCCACAACTCTCCTCCCTCTTCCCTATGGAGAGGCAGAAGGCAGGGCAGAGGAGAAGGAACATCCCCTCAGCTCAAGGAAGTGTCGGGTGAAGCTGCTAGCTGGAGCCAGAGACATTGCTGACTCCTTGGTGTCCTGAGTCAAGGAGGATTCTGAAGCTGCATGCAGGCTCCGTCAGAAGGAAGTCTCATGATCTATTAGCAATGTCTGTCATGAGCACAGGAGGGGCCATGATCTATTAGCAATGTCTGTCATGAGCACAAGAGGGGCAAGGAGTGGCCTGAGTGCTACTTTCCCCAACCGTGTCTTAAAGCAAAGCCACGACATTTGGCATAACTTAGTTCAAACCCAAGGCCAAACAGACCAAGGCTGAGCACAGCTCATGAAGCTAGTTGTGGTGTGCGAGTGAGGCGTGGGCACTGGCCCTGCCACCAAGAATCCCAGACCCTGCTCTGTACTTCCAAGGCTCTTTGATGATGGCTGTCCCAGCAGAAAGTGGCCGGAGCTCCGGTGTATCCTTAGGACTTATTAGCAGGAAAGCAAGGAAAGGAAACAAAAGAGAGACTCCCAGCTCTCCTGTTCCTCCAAGCCTGCCCCACCCGCCCCAAAGCAACAGAACCTGAGCAGGAGACAGCCCAGATGCCAGCACCGTGGATTCATCCACCTCCTCAACCCCCTGCCTGGGCCGCAGACAAGTCAGGACTGGTGCTCAGGCTCAGCTCCCGCCCCCACGGGTCATCTGGTAAAGGCGGCTGCTTACCAGGGAGCTGGGTCCAAACGTGGGTGGGGAGAAGGAAGTGCAGGGACCCAGTTTCTCAACCCCAAACCGCACCATCTGAAGAGCACGTGAAGCCCCGGGGAAGGGGACTGGTGGGCAGGAAAGCGAGCTCCGCGTGGGGTAGCGTGCCAGAGCATGTGCCCCCGCCCCGGCACACACAAGGATGCCGAGATTCAACTTGTGTGGCCCCACGGCAGGGCTCCAGCCCATCACGGGGGTGGGGGCGCGGAGGGGAACGAGCGATTCAAAGGGGCAGGCACACAGGCACACATACTCACACTCACACTCAGGGACTCTGGCCTAAGCCTAGGGTGGGAGCCGGGCCTCGGTATTTTTTATGTTTACTTTTTTCTTAACTTCCAGGCAGGTTTTAGAAGAACTTCAAACAGGGCCACGAGCGATCCGCGGGAAGGAGGCAGGTTCCCAGCAATGAATTTCTGCCACGGGAAACAGTGAGAGCCCCGTCCTGGGAGCTGTGTAAATGGAGACTTGGGGGGGCTTTGATGAGGAGGTGGTGGGGAAAATCAGACTGAATTCTAAACCTGCGAGGCCTAGTTCCTCTCCCCCTCGTTACCCAGGTGCGTGCACCCGATGGAGCTCCAAGACATGGAAGTCTTCGCCGGGATGGAGTTTGCTGCACTTCCTGCCTGGATGATCTGTAAAAATCCTCTAGGGAGTCTCCAGGCTCCGAGCACCCCCTCGGCACCCACCCTGTTCCTCACCTTTCTTAGAGCAGCCAGAATGATCTTATCACCTGCACCGCACACCCCAGCTTGAATCTCTGCAAAGACTTCTGAACATGCTTGGCATGAAGTTCAAATTCAAGGCTCTCAAGAGAAGGCCTGACTCACCACCCTCACTCCCCTCCCCTGCTTCAGCCCCCACAGCCTCCTCCCCGCTCCCCAAAGCTTCCAGGAAACCCCACAGCACAGGCCTCTGCCCCTGCAGGTCCCACAGCCCAGAGCAACCTCTTCGGACCAGCCTGGCCTCATGGGCACCCACTGGGCCCAGAGCTCTCAGCTCACTCACCACAAAATCTTGTCTGCACCCCTCGGGATGGGCTGGGTTCCCTGGGCACCACCCTGACTCTGGGCCTGTTACTATGTATGGATGTAAATGGCAACCCCCTCCTTCCTGTCCTAAATTAACACCCCTAAGGGCAGTCTTTGTGTGGGTGTTCAGCATTGAACCCCAGCCTTCAAGAGTCCAGCATAAAAGAGGCTTTAAATACAAATGAAGAAATTCAGTTGGTTTTTGATTTGGGAGACCACAGACCCCTTTGAGACACCTGGAAAAATGGATCCACCTGCCAGAAAAGAAAATACACAGAATCCCTACACACACTCTGGGCCACACAGACGCACTGAGGTCCATCTGGGGGCCCCAGGACATCTGCCAGGGGTCAGGAAGCCTTGTCTGAAAAAGGCCACCAACACTGCTGACCTGCCTTCTCCCTTGAAAAGTAAAATGAACATAAATTTCAAGCTAGGCTAGGTGAGGAGGAAGAAGCTATTGGCACTAGAGGGTTAGTTTGGGGGTGGAGCTGCTGCTGTCCTCTCACCAGGACCTTTCTCGATAGCCCCCTGCTCCCCTTGGGTGCTTCCTGGGACCAACCGCAGGCCCCAGAGCTGATAAGCAGATAATAGCTTCCCATATAGCGGCAGGGCAGGTTTGCACCTCAGACCTTTTTCTGCCTTGTGATCAACCTGGATCCAAGAAGGCTGCAACTCCTCCTGAGCCGGCCCCCAGACGGCTGTGTCCCAGCTCCTTAGCTGGATGAGAGAAGCACGCTGAGGAGGCCAGGAGCAGTAACTTGCCTGTAATCTCAGTACTTTGGGAGGCAAAAGTGGGAGGATAGCTTGAGCCTAAGAGCTCCAGATCAGCCTAGGCAATAGAGGGAGGCCCCGTCTCTACAAAAATAGCCAGTTGTGGTGGCATCCATCTATAGTCCCAACTACCCAGGAGGCTCAGGAGGGAGGATTGCTCGAGCCCAGAAGGTCAAGACTGCAGTAAGCCATGCTCACACCACTGCACTCCAGCCTGGGCAATGGTGCAAGACCCTGTCTCTAAAAAAAAAAAGAAAAGAAAGAAAGAGAAAGAAAATCACTTTGCCAACAAAGCTGTATTCTTTCCTATCGTTGCTTTAACAAATTACCAAACAAATTATCAAAACAATACAAACGGATGATAGCTCTGTGGCTCTGAAGTCCAACACTAGTCTCAGCAGGTAAATAAATGCAAGTGTGGGCAAGATGGGTTCCTTCTGGGGGCTCTAGGGGAGGATCCCTCCCTTGCCTTGTGCAGCTTCTCCAGGCCACCTGCATCACAGGGCTGGTGGCCCCGCTCATCTCCACCCCTCTGTCCTCTGTGCTCACATGGCTCCAACCACAGCTCGCAAAGGCTCTCTCCTCTAAGGACTGATAGGGCCACCCTGCTACACAGAGCCCGCGCATTGGAAGGCCAGCTGATTAGCACCTGTGATTCCAAGGGCAGCCTTAACTCCCCTTCGCCCTGGAGGGTGACACGTTCACAGGTTCCAGAGATTAAGACACTGGCATCTTGGAGAGGCTGTTGCTCTGCTCATTGCAAATGGCTTCCTGAAGACCCAGAGAAACAGCACCCCCAGGCAGCAGCTCCCCTGGCTGGCGGGATGGGACTGGGGATAGGGAGCAAACTGGGTTCCTTGGATCTGGGGGCGGTGTCACCCCTCCAGTCCACTGGAAAATGGTTGGTTGTGAGGTTCACTGATTCGAAACTTTGGTTTTGGTCTGGGAGGAGTCCAGATGCTTCTTCTGGCAGACTTGACACTGCATGTGCAGGGGGCATGAGCCAGGCAAGGAGTGTGGGAGGGCTGTCCACAGACGCCCACAGTGCCAGCAGCGCTGGTCCAGGCCAGCCCACCCCCAAAGCCCAAAACCAGAATGCACCTTCTTGGGACCCCAGCACCCGCAGGCCACCACAGGCTGTCAATGTCGGTTCCCCAATCAGCCTATGGGGAAAGGGATTGCACCCCAGCCACAGCCCCAGTGCCCGGGACAAAGCCAGGCTCCTGTGGGGGCCCCACAAATGCCTGGTGACTTGTCAGAAAGCACTCAGTGGGATTGCTGGGGACACTGAAGCTCATCCAGGCCAGGCAGATGACCCTGGCAACGTCCGACAGGAAAGAGGGCCTGGGGCAAGGGACAACCCAGACCCCAGAGACCCAATCCCAGGGCTGCCACTTACCTACACCATGCCCTTAGACAAACCACTTACCCTCTTCGAGCCTCAGTTTTCCTCTCTGTGAGTGGGAGGCCATCTACCTCAGAGCCTCAAGAACCACACAACATGATGGGCTAAAAGCTGTCTGCTCTAGAGGACCTGCAGAGTGCGACCCCCTGGAAGTCTCCTTCGCACAATGCGTTAACTTTACTTATATTTACTGTTAATGTTTGATTTGCTTGCAATGAAAATATTAGCTTTAATTTTTAAAAAATTTATTGTAAAGAAACATTTCAAACAAACTGAAAAGTATTGCAAATCATATATTCTTTTTTTTTTTTTTTTTTTTTGAGACAGAGTCTCGCTCTGTCGCCCAGGCTGGAGTGCAGCAGCATGATCTTGGCTCACTGCACGCTCCGCCTCCCAGGTTCATGCCATTCTCCTGCCTCAGACTCCTGAGTAGCACAAATCATATATTCTTTAAACACCTACCACCTGGCCAGGTGCAGTGGCTCACGCCTATAATCCCAGCATTTTGGGAGGCCAAGGCAGGTGGATCACTTGAGGTCAAGAGTTTGAGACCAGCCTGGCCAACATGGTGAAACCCTGTCTCTACTAAAAAAATACAAAAATTAGCTGGACACAGTGGCGCACACCCGTAGTCCCAGCTACTCGGGAGGCTGAGACTGGAGAATCACTTGAACCTGGGAGGCAGAAGTTGCAGTAAGCTGAGATCGCACCACTGCACTCCAGCCTGGGTGACAGAGTAAGACTGTGTCTCAAAAAACAAACAAAAAACCCATATATATATACACACACACATATATACATAGATACAAATATACATATATACATATATATTTATCAAGTATTAAAGTTTGCCATGAATTTAAAATATGTTTCATTTTACAAAATAAAGAAACAGTAAACTCATCTACCTCCCCATTTCTTCCTCCCCCTCCTTCCATGGGGTAAGCTCCCCGGGGGTCTTCCCATCCATGTTTCAGAGTCTTCCTTCATCTCTGTGTAGCTGCAAGCACTGCCATTGTTCTATTTAAATATCTACACGCTTGGCATTGTACTATACTAATGTTTTGCAACTTGCATTTCTAAGCTAGTTTATTACTTTTACAGAATTAAGATGCTCTGTGTAGGGAAGGATTTGGGGGTTTTCTTCCTGAGCCATCTGGCGAGCACCTGAATGGATTTTGAGTCAGTCCCCTGCTGGGTCCCGCTGGGGCCCTGCTGAGTTCCTGTGGTGAGTCTGTGATCCCCCCTACCTGGGCGTACCTGCCACATTGGCCATCCGCAGGGCTTCCTGGTTCTTGGGCGTCTTGGAGCGGTTCTGGCTGCGCTGTTTGCTCCCCGTGGACCGGATGCTGCGGAAGTGGACCTCCGTGGCCTTGAAGAAAGCCACCATGAAGGGCTGCTTATTCTGGGGCCCGTGCCGCCCAATCAGGCCCGCCAACTTGGGGTTGATGCTCTGCCCTGGACAGGAAGCAGCCAAGTGCACAGAAGAGTAGTTACAGGAGGGCCACGAGCGGGACAGGGCTGCAGAGACGCTACGCCTCCCGGTTCATTCATGAACTCTTTATTCCTCCATCCAGCAAGTATTTATTGAGTACTCACTCTAGGCCAGGTACTGTTTAAGGAACTTGGAACACAACTGCGAGAGCAGCCAAGAAAATGTCCTGTTCTCTGGGTTTCCATGCAAGTGGGGAAGGCAGGCAGGAAATATAAGGGGTGGGGAACTAGGCTGAGGGCTGCGGAAGGTGGCAAGCCAGCGAACCCCATAAGTGCCACTCACATTCCATTGGCCAAAGCAGGTCGTGGTACCTGCCTAATTTCAGGGAGTTGGGGGGCAATCTTGCTCTGTGCCAGGGAAGGTGGGAGCAACTGCAAAAAGGTGGGAGCAACTGCAAACAACCCTAATGACTACAGGGGCCATCTCAGTAGAGATCTGGGTAATAGTGAGTGAGGGGGCTCAGTGGATGTTTGGGAAGAGTGTATTCCAGGCAGAGGGAACTGCAGAGGTGAACGTATGGAGGCAGGAGCGAGGAGGGCGTGTTCAAGGGGCAGGGGCGAATAGCAGAGACAACTGGGAGGGGCAGAACGGGCACGAATCAGGTTGGGTCCTATGGGCAACACGAGCACCTGCCTCAGCCCAGTGTCCTGCGTGGCTGGTGTCCCCTAAAATTCACACCCACACAGAACCTCAGGATGTGACCTCATTTGGAAGCACGGTCTTTGCAGATGTGCTGTCGTCAGTTAAAATAAGCTCATACTGGATTAGGATGAGCCTTAATCCAGTGACTAGTGTCCCCATAAGAAGGCCACATAAAGACACAGATGCAGACAGCCCGGGGAAGACAGAGGCCATGAAGCACCAAAGATGACCAGGAGCCTCTGAAGACAGAAGAGGTAAGGAGGGATTCCTGCCTAGAGCCTTTGTAGGAGGACAACCCTGTGGCACCTTGACTTTGGACTTCTAGCCTCCAGACCGTGAGAGAATAAAGCCGTGTTGTTTCAAGCCACCCAGTGAGTGGAACTTCACATCCAGGGCCCTGGTTAGGACACCAAGGCACTCTGCAAGAAGTGAGAACCACTAGGGTGGGACTTTCCATGGTTTTTATAAGGTCACTCAGGCTGCCCCTGGAGACCCGACTGCAGGGGTCAACCTGGAAGCAGGGAGACCAGGTGGAGGCAACTGAATGGTTCAGGTCGGAGGTGACGTGAGACTGGACCCAGGGTGGTGGGGAGGGAGGCTGGTGAGAAACGGCCAGATCCTCAAGAGTTCATTTTTAAAATCCACCTTTAGAATTTATTTTGGTTTTAACTTTTTGCTCTGAAATGATTACAGATTCACAGGAAGTTGAAAGACAATGTACAGGGAGCTCCCAAGTGCCCGTCATCCAGTTTCCCCCAAAGGTGACGTCTCACGTAACGAGAACACAGCCTCCAAACCAGGAAAGTGGCAGATTTAGGGCTGAATTTGGGGAGGGATTATAAAAGGTGTGAGAAAAAGGGGAGTCTCATAAGACTGCCATGCTCTTGGCCCAAGCCCCTGGAAGAAGGGAGGAGCTATTTACCAAGGTAGGGAAACTGAGGCAATGGAGCATAAGCTGGGAAATAGAGGGTAGAAGACAAAATGCAGTTTGGTTTAGCAGATATTATCTGAAATCCCTACTTGACACCAAAAGGAAGGTGTCAGGTGGGCAGCAGACACCTAAGCCTAGGTGTCTGGCCTAGGCTTGATCAATTGATCAATTGGAAGAGATGAGCTCTGGGCTAGTAAGGGAGGCAGCCAGGCCCAGGCCAGACCGCCTGGGTTCAAAGCCCTGCCTCTGTCACTTAATGCACAGCTGGGGCTCAGGGCAGAGCTTTGTGCACCCTAAGTGCTCAATAAATGCTAGCTCAGGGCAGAGCTTTGCACACCCTGAGTACTCAATAAATGCTAGCTCAGGGCAGTGGTCCAGATAGTAATGTAAGCTTGGGCATCCCCAGCACAGAGATGGGATTTAAAGTCAGAAGACTGGATGAGCTCACCTGGGGAAAGTGTGCAGCCTGAGAAGCAATGTGAAGACTGAGCCTAGGTGGCCTCTGTCTTCCACTGAGAGGTCAGGAGAATGCAGTGGAGACTGTGCAGGAGTACCCAGTAAGGAAGGATCTGAAAGAAGCTTGGGCAGGAAGAATGGGGACACCAGCAGGGTATGGGGTCCCGGAAAACAGGGGAGGAAAGTGGAGGGAGCAAACTCCATGTCCTGTGCTCTGCAGATGGACCCAAGAACACACTCTCTCTCCATTGGCTTTGACGATGGTGAGGTCATTGGCAATATATATGTAATGCCATGCCTGGGGGTGATGAGTATTTCAAAGCCAAAAAACAAAAAAAGCATCCAGTGGAAACAAAGCCTATTTCACACACATGACAGCACAAGCTCAGAGAGGCTGAATAACCCACCCAGGGATACCCAGCTTGGAAGCCACAAATCAGAATCTGAACCCAGATGAGGACAACAGGGAGTTGGGAGGCTGAGCCTCTGCAGATACGGTGCCCCCAAGTTGGGTGGGAGGGGTCAGAGGCCAGCAAGTGAGGGGCCCGCTCACATCTGGAATTAACTTCACCTGGAGTCCCCCAGAAGGGCCAGAAGTCAAGAAACCCAGCCTCCCAGGACCAGATCGGCACCAGTGGTTTCACTTTGGTTTTTTAACAACTAATGTTTAAAAGAACAACTTTCCCCCCACCCGCCACTATTTTACCTTAACCCCCTTTAACGTTCAGCTTCCCTGCATTCTTGAGCGGGGTTTCCCCGAGTTCACCCATCTATAATTTGAATGGTTCTATAAAAGAAACCATTAAAGCTGAGCCCCTAGGAATTGTGTTTCCCCCCTAGAAGGCTTTTAGGGCAAAATAAAAATGCCTGGCCTGAAAAGCTGATGCTGTTCCAGATACCTCAAATCCACGCGCTGCAAAAACTCTCTGCGCCTCTGAGCAGAGGCGTCTGGCTTGCTTTGGGCAGCTGTCAGGACAAGGACAGCCACATCCAGGGAGCCACAGCCTCAGCTGAGAAGTGTCAGGACAGAGGGGCAAAGAGTGGGTCTCAAGGGTGTTTAAAGCCACATGTGCCGCTAACCAGCCTATGTGGGCTGAGAGAGGCCAGTTGTATGCTGGGGCCTGAATTTCCTCATCTGTAAAATGGGGATGATGCCATGAGACACATCTGTCCCCCCTTTCCTTGGTAGCCAACCGGATTTTCATTGAGGCAGTTGTGCCTTACACAGCCTCCACACTGGCCTTAGAGGAGGGGCCTGTGGTTTAATAAAAGGCAACTAATCCTCTGGCTATGGTGATTAGTTCAGGGATGAGCACATGACCCATTTTGGCCAATAAATGAAGGGGAGGTATCCTGGAGGTTTCTGGAAAAGAAGCCTCCCACTCTGGTGTCCAGAAGGAAGCCTGCCCCCCATCCCCTCCCCCCGCCCTCTCTCTCTCTCTCAACAGGATTGAGGGAGGAGGGATGGATGCAGCCACAGAAACGGCCACCATCTGGCAATCACAGGTGACCACGTTTCCAAAGAGGCCACACTGGTAGAAGGCAGAGCAGAGAGACCGGGTCTCTCCCGACATTGCTAAGTCACTGGATCAAGTCAGCCCTGAAGCCCGCATTCTCACCCCAGCCACTAAGATGAAAAACCTTTGACTGCTTAGTCTGAACTGGTATTTTGGGTTGTTCTTGTCCCTTTCCTAGAGACTTGGGGACAGGGAGCATGGTGCCAGCCATCTGGCACCTGACATGGAACAGGTGCTCTGAGGGCAGGTATGGAATCTTCCCCTCTGTCACCGAGTTTGGGAAAAGGTTCAGGATTTTAACCTAAAGGCTGAACAACACCACGGCAGACACTTATTCACCTTCAACAATAACAGAGGGATACAGAAAATACACTGGCAATTCCTAAAAAGGGTTTAATATGTAGTCTTCACGTGACCCAACAATTCCACTCCTAGGTGTGTACCCACGAGAACTGAAAACACAGGTTCACACGAAAAACTTGTACACGAGAGTTGGCGGCAGCATGATTTATGGTGGCCAAAAAGTGGAAACAACTCGATGTCCATTAACTAATGAAGGGATAAACAAAATACGGTGTATCCATACAGTGGAATATTGTTTGCCATAAAAAGGAGTCATTTTCTGATCCATGCTACAACACGGACAAACTTTAAACTCGTTACACCAAACGGAAGAAGCCAGATGCAAAAGCCACACATTGAATGATCGCATTTCTGTGATATTTCTGGAACGGGTAAATCCATAGAAATAGAAAGTAGTTGACTGGTTGCCTAGAGCTAGGGGTTGGGGTAGCAGGGAGTGGCTGTTAAGGGATATTCTGGGGGGAGTGATGGAAATGTACTAGAATTAGACAATGGGATGGCTGCACAACAATGAGAATATACTAAAAAAAAATAACTGAATTGTACACTTTGAAATGGTGAGTTTTATGTTAGGAAAATTAGATCTCACATTTTTAAAAAACTAAAAAGCAAAACAGGGGTGGGAATGACCCACTCACTGTGCCTTAGAGGGACAGTTTTTATGAATAACTGTAAGGATGCCTACCACAGGGTCTGGCTATATACTCAATGAATAAATGCCTGCCTCACCAACAGCAGACTGGGAGCTCACGGCCCACCCCATCCTCAACACAGCCCCAGGGAAAGAGATGCCGCAAGCTCACTTTGCAAAGGAGGAGCAAGACTGAGTGAGGAAGGCCTTTGAGCTGGTCCATGGCAAGGCCAAGATTCGAACCCTGGTCTGTCAAAACCAAAGCCTGCATTCTCTGCCATGACGGCCACAAGCCTTCGTGCTGCAAACACACCCAAGGCCTCCCTTCTGTCTGGGTATACAGTTGGTACTCAACTAGGATCAAGGCTCCCCAGAAGGGCGTGGGGCCTACACATGAGCTTGGAGGTCAGCACCCCAGGGGTT